CGTCAGGGCGAGCCGCCCTTCCCTGCATGTGCCAGCCAGTCTACAGAGACTGGGGGTGTTAGGAAGGGGGCCAGGCGCTGAGGGTGACCCCACAGTAAGTAGAGAGAAAGCGAGCTCTGGAGAGAGAAGGATGCAACCCGCACCCCAGCTCTGCCCCAGCGAGTGGCATGACTTGAGCATGCCAGCTGCCATGTCCGGCCTCTCTTCTCCTCTGGAAAATGAGGCTGTTGGGAGAGTTAGACAAGACCAGCGTGACAGCTCCCCGCAGAGCACGTGGTGCAGGGCGGTGAGTCTAAAGGTAGATCCCCACCCCAGCAGGGTGGGCACTGTGATTAGGTGGGGGCTGGGATCCTCACATGTTGGGACTGTAGAATCCCAGAGCAGGAAGGACTTTACATCCATTTTTCCCCTAGGCTGGGAGTCCTTTCTGCAGTGACCCAGACACTCCTCTTCAGGGGTCCACGACAGGGAGAGGGAGGCCTTCTCACCTGGTCAGGGGCTGCTTGAGACTGCTGGGTGCTCATGGGATATTCCTGATAGTAGGCAAACATGACCAGGCCAATGAGGCAGCCCATGCAAAGGACCACCTGCTGGCAAGGGAAGACCACGTAGCAGGACCTGCAAGAGGCCAGGGCCAAGAGGGCACGTCCCTAAGCCCCAGAAAGCAGACCCACGTCCTGCCCAATGGGTGTGCATATGCTCTGGCATCCTGCCCCCACCCCAACTGCCCTCTGTGGAACCAGGGCCCACTCCTCTCCCCCAGCCCATGCGCCCCCATCTTCCCATCCCCGCACTCACAGCACAGCAGCCTTCTCCGTGCGGGAACTGAGGTAGCGCTGAACCTGAGCCTGGTTCACTCCATACAAGGAGAGCATCATGAAGACACCCCCGAAGGCCAACGTCCAGAAAGTGTGCCTCACAAAAGGGTCCGGATCCAGCCTGCCATAAATGCCAATGTGTCAGTGTTGTCCTAGAAACTCAGCCTTCCTCGCCCCCTACAACCAGAGGCAGGAGGCAGGAGGCAGGGCAGAACAGAGACACTGTGAGGGCTGAGGAGCTACTCAAGGCAAGAACTGAATGGACTGGAGACAGGGAAGCAAGTTAGAGGGGGGTTTCCATTTCTCTTCCATTCCAGGAACTAAAACCGACCTGACACTCAACCATCACCTCTGCAGTGCCAGCTTCCCACCGTTCTCAGTGCTGCACCCAGGCTTCCACAATGTACCCTCTGCTTACTACAGCCCTGGGCACAGGCTCTAGGATGGGCTCAGCTCCTAGCACTACAGACCCTGGCCAGGGGAAGGGGTGTACTTACTCGATTCCAGAGATGAGGCCGTGCTGGGAAGCCACATCCCACACATGCCCCAAGCCGCCCACCTTGGCCGACCCCACAATGATAACCACCAGCTGCCCTAGGAACATGACCAGTGTCTGGAACACATCTGTCCAGATGACTGCCTTCAGTCCACCCTGCAGGAAAGACAGCATGCCTGCCACAGATGTCTATGAAACCAGACCACCAACAAGGGCACTATACTGCCGCCAGCTGTGTATAGTTGGTGAGACCCTGCTGACATCATTCCCACCCCTTCCCTTCCCTTCCTTTCCTGTCCCATTATGGTGGGACATATGGGATACTCCTGACAGCAGGCAAACATGACCAGGCCAATGAGGCAGCCCGTGCAAAGGACCACCTGCTGGCTGCCCCACCATAATCCCATCCCATTTCCTACATCCCATTTCATTCTATCATAGAATTTCATGCCAGCTCCTCACCTATATTCTTATCTCATCTAGCACCCACCTACTTATCTCATCCCTCTCTTCCTTTTCCTCCCATCTCTCCTGATTTCATCTCTTCTCCTCCCTCCCCTAAGCCTACCTGCACTCACCAGAGCAGTGTAGATGGTACAGACAATGCCTAGGGTTAGCACCGATAACCAGAGATCAAAGCCGGTCACTGCAAAACAGATAAAAGTCACATTCCAGCCTCTGAAGGAGGGTTCCCCAGCAGAGAGGCCAGGAAAGCCGTGATAAGACATGAAGCATTTGGTCATTAAAGATGAAATGAATCATTTACCACAATGGAAAAAAATGTTTGCAAAGCCCCACCAAAAGGTGTTGATTAACCAATTCAGATGGAGCCTGGTAATGTTTGATTAGCTGTCAAGCAAGGTGAACCAAGCCTGCCTCCTCCTCTAGTGGTAACCAGCCAAGGGCCCAGGCTGAAGTAACTCCCTGGCCAAGGTTAGATTCTGTTCCTCTACTTGCCCTTCCAAAAGGCTTTTCCCCAGCCTGCTATGGCTAGGAGCGCGGGGCTGTGATTCCTTACCTGCATTGAGGGCCAGTGATGGTGCATAGAGGACGACACCCATGTAGATCACCTGTTGGGTACAGAAAAGAGAATGTGAGGGTGGGCAGAGTGGGAGGGACAATGGACCCAGTGGCCTCCCTTCACCTGGCCTCACTTCTCTTTCCCCTCTTCTAACTTTGGCTTGCTGCCACCATAGTAGCTGTGCTGGAAATGGAAGAAATGGGAAACAGGATGCCTCTGGGGGGCTTCAGTGACACTGAACCCCTGGCAGGGATTTCAGTCTTGCCAGTCTGAGAGCAGGGAAGGCTCCAACTGCCTCAGCTAGCCCAAGTTCAGTCCCCCTACTATGCCTCAGGCTCAATTTCTATCCTCATTCCACTTACCATCTGAAAGATGAAGGTCACGGTCCCACAAACCCGCACAGCTGTATTGAATCGGAGCTCCAGGTACTAGGTAGGAGTAGATATATACATTAAAAAAAAAAGTATTCCTGCCCACTCCACCCCCGACAATTCACACACAACTTCCGTCGAGAGGCCCCGGAGCAGAGGGACTATCCAGCTCATATCCACTCTGGGCCCCACTCAGCACAGCACCCTTCTTCTCTCCCTACTCCCACCTCAGCCTGACCTTGATCAGAAACAACTTGTAAACACATGATGTGTTCCCTGTCACTGTCATTAGGCAGAGATCTGGGGGCCCAGACCTCTCATATGTCCCCTGTTCCTCCTCTCCATCTCTGACCCTGGGCATCCTATGTGCTCCTTCCTTCCTCCCTGCTCACCTCATAGGCACTGGTGAGATGCAGTCGGTAGAAGACAGGGATGAAGACGTGTGCAGGGATCAGCAGTCCCAGGAAATAGGAGCAGCCCAGGAACCAATACTGGGTCCCGAATCGGTAGATCTCGGATGGCACACCCAGGATGGCCACGGCTGACTGGAAGGTGGCCAGCAAGGACAGCGCCACAGGAAGGCAGCCCATCTTGCGGTCTGCCATTAGGAGCTGGCCGATGGAATGCCGGCCCCAGCCACGATAGGCATGATACAGCCCAATGGCAAGGGAGAGAACCAGCAGCAAGACAAAGACCACATAGTCCACCACGGAGAAGGTGGATGTGATCACGTTTGTGTCTGAGGTTGGGGAGAGGGGAGTGGAGGTGGTCACCCCCACACTCATATCCTCTCTGTGTCTGTGACCTGCAGTCACTTGCTGCTCCTGGGCTCTGGGCTGCCACTTGGCGGGGCGGTGGCAGGCAAGTGGCTACAACCTGACTCCCAGCCACAGTCTCACAATCCTCTTCTAACACCAAGTGACACTGTCCGGGGTCAGCTGCAAAGAAATTAGCTCTTAGTCAGGCCTATTCTGGCCGCTCACCCTTGGGCCTGTGCACCCCACACCCATTAGACTTAGACCAGCCAGGTTGGTGGCAGCCCTTGAAAATCTGGAGGTACTGATATGGGTTTGGTAAGGTAGAGAGGGGAGGGAGGAAGCAGAAGAGTGAGACAGCTAGGAGACAACTAACTGGCCAATACCTTTTTGGGTGTACACAGCTGTGAAACATAAGAACCTCCTTAGGTCTCCACCCTACTAGCGAAAGAAAAATCAACTCTAGTCCACATTTCTTCTCAGAATTCCCTGCCCCCACTTGCAGGCACAGACCCAGTCACTACAATGCATTCAGCCAGCAGAACCTAGCCTGGCGCCACAACCCAGCAGAGAAGAAGAAGCAGAGACTAACGACAGCCTGGCCTCAGCCCCCACCTCCTATGATCCCCTGGGTCACCTTCCTAACAGCACCCGTTCTCAGCACCAATTACCAGGGAGATCACCTCCACGGCAGCCCCAAATTCCATTCCAGGCATCCCCAGTCCAACCACTCTGTTCTCCCCAACATCACTAAATAAGCCCTGCTAACCTCCTCTCAGCTCCTCTACCTTCAACACCCCAGTCGACAGCAGATCCGGGAAGAGTGGTGGGATTCAAACATGAGAGGGCAACGTGCTGGAGCCAGGGGTTCAGAGTTACAATTGTAGGGGCACTCTGGAGAGAAGCAAACCAGGCAGGGAACTGGGGGCAAAAGAAACAGTCCGGGAAAGTGGTCTTATCCCACTGGGGCAGACACCTACCTTAAGAGGCAATCTCTGTTCGTAGGCAGAGCTGCCTGAAGAAGCTGTGTGTCTGGAGCCGGGCAGAGGCTGAGGGTCTGCTCTATAAGTGGCTGAGGTGAGATGAGGAGCTGGGGGTGGAGTGAAGCTCAGAAGCTATTTGTTCTGGCCCCTTCAGGGAACCAATCACTGTGGTCCAAATGGCCCTATCACCCTAGGGCCCCCAAACTCCAGCTCAGCCCCAGAGGCTCCAGAATGGGGAGCAGGGAGCTCACACTCAACAGCATTCCTGGGTGGATTAGGCTTTCACTGCAAGTTACACTTGGCACTGTGTGCTAGGGGGAATTGCAAAGGAGGAGCTGGGAGAAGATTGGGAAGTTGCCTTTCTGAGTACCAATCCTCAAAGAATATACTATTATCCTCAGAACAAGGACCAGAATCTCAAAACTGAAAGAAATCTTAAGAGATCACTATTACAACTCCCTCATTTATCGACAGACACTGAGGCCCATGTATTTAAATAGCCTAACATGATGAGTTAACATTTTTTGAACACCTGCTACCTAATCCAGCAGTGCACTACATGCTTTATAAGCACTAGTAATAATAAATATTGAAAAAATAACCATAGCTCTCACTTTCAAAACACTATGTCTCAGGTTGTGCACTTTACATGAACACTCTCTAGTTTTCAACTGTTACACAGCGCGATACAAAACAAGGGAGAAAAAACGGTGTGGTGATTCACATGGCCCCTTCCTCCCAGAACCAGTGCAGGAGCAGAGTGTTAACTGTGGTCAGTCATTCATGGAACAAAGTTTAGATTTCAACAAATCTAGAGACAGATTAACATAAACTACATTTTCTCTTCTTGCCTACTAGGAGAAAGATCAGCCTAGCTGTCTTCCAGCTCTCCTACACTGTGCTCTTGGACAAATGTTGCCTGGCTGGTAAGATATGGCCTCACACAGACCAAACCTGATTTCTGAACCTCTTGGGGCCAGTGAAGAGAGGAAATTAGAGTTGGCAGCTCTTGGATCACATGTTCTACTGAGTCACAAATGTTACTCTCCAGAACAACGTTTCTGGCAGGCTAGTCTAGTCTAAGTGAAAGATGCCCTGGGCCTTTGTACATTGCAACATCTGGAGTTTTCTCACTTCTCTTTAGCAAGTTTTTACTGTTAGGGCAGAGATGACGGGAATTACTGGAGATTAAGAGGTGAGAAGATGTCTGCCATGTACAAATAACAATGTGTAGAGGTCAAGGGCTAATGATATGGATAGGAAGGCAGTTAGAGAAAGGAGGAATGGTCCCAGTACAGAATGGAAAACACGTGTACAGAAATGGAGACCCTCTACTCCTAGGGTAAACTGGCAGGGCTTCCTGAGAATTCTATTTGCATGAAATGCAAAGAACCCCCCTGGATGGCTCAAGAAAGAAAGAGCCAGAAAAGACAGCAAAAACTTGACCCAGTAGCAAAGCCTTCATTAAACATGATTCTAAGACAGGATAGTGGCTTTCTAAAAACTCTACACTAATCTAAACCCCATGGACTTGCATCTCTCTGAGGGGGCCAAAAGTAAGAGCTGAGTTGTTTCACTATAACTGTAACACACAGGGCACAAATAGTGGGCTGTGGGACCCTTTTTAAAAAGTCTAACATATATACATTCAAGAAAGAAAATCACTCTTCACCACTCTAACCCTATCCTCACTTTGGTTACAACTGGATTGCTCTGACTCCTACAAAAGGCAAAAGCGCCACCGCAGGACCAACCTTCCCAAAAAGATTCCTTCAAAATCTGTCCTTGTGCCTAGAATTCCTCAGGGTCTTGAAAGGCTTTAGGAACCCTCATTAAAATACTAATAACTACTAATGCCTTAGAAAATGGGCCAGCCCTCTGAAAGTAAATCATTTGAGGAGATTCCAGACACCTGGGGGTAGGTGGAAGGGAAGCCAGGCTACTAAAAATGAGCTTTGGTTAGCTTTCATGAGCTTTTGCTGGCTCTAACCGAAGCCAACCTCAGCCCCTCCCGGCGTAGGTCTCACTTTGCGCCATTCCATCAGGGCCCTGGGTCACCCAGGGCAGCCCTGGTCTTCCCCTTACCGCTGTGGCTCAGCCAAGGCTAAGAAGGTCCCGTCTTCCCGAGATCAGCATCGCTCCCTTTTTCTAGGAAGGCAAGAAGATGAGGAGTTAGGGAAGCGTCTATCCCGTCCCTACCTCCACGTGGGCTAGGGCTCCGGACGCCGCGTGGTCTCAGGACTGGGGTAAAGGGGACAGGGTATCTGGGAGTCCCCAGGCTCGTCTCCTCCCGCCGGGGTTTGCCCTTGGTCCGTCGCTCCTCCATCACCCGGTATTACCCTCTTTGTTTCCTGGCTTCTCTCCTTCCCTCCACATGCGAGGTGGCGAGACCACTACTGCTTCGCCGCTGGCGCCTCAGACCTTCCCGGGTCCCCACGCTGGGGGCCGGCTCACCGAGCCCATCCCTTCTCAGCTCCTCCCCGTCCCTCCCTGACGCCACTCTTGGAGCCTGTGCCCTGGCCCACCCCCTCGCGGCCCGCCCCCGTCCGGCCCACCTGCCGGGTCTCCGCACGTGGGTCCGGCGGCCGCGGGACAGCCAGCCCCGCCACACCAAGCCGAATGACAGTGGGGCCCCGCCCCCTGCCCGCCCCCGCCGCCATGTTTACTGAGGGCGGATGGATTGTCCGCGAACTGTTGCGGGACGCGACCCCGACGTCCGTGCGAGAGGAACGCAGGGCCGAGAGAGCGGCAGCGGGGAGGCCTTCGCTTAAGGGGGAAAAGGAGAAGGGGTTGGTTAGTCTCCCCGAACGAGGACTGGGGCGCTCGGAGAAGAGCGCTGACCTCCGCAAGCCGCAAAGCCCCTCAGCCTGCTCCGGGAGCACTGGCCTTGCGGAGTAGCGGGGCTGGAGGACTAGGCCCCGCCCGGGCGAGGGCGCTACAGGGTAGGGGCGGGGCCACACGCGCAAGTCTCGCGATCTCCTGGGAAGGACGAAGGGAAAGGAAAATGGCCCCTGGCAGGGTCTGCAGTGACTTGAGCTTGGTGCCCTGGGCTGCAGCCCTGCTCCTGGTTCTTATCGTGGAAAGGGCTTTGGCGCTACCCGAGGTACTGAAGCAAATTAGAGGTTGGGTTGAAACAGAATTGCTCGCCTGCCCTCGACTCTCCCCTCTACCCTGCCTGCCCGCAGCCCCGATTTCATCCCTGGGGCCTTGCCCGCGGTAGCCCAGCCGGCTCCCACTCCCGAGTACTCACGCTGCTGTCTCCCAGCACCTTCACCCAGCTGACGTCCACAGAACTTTGAAATCTGACCCTTTTACTCCTTAATCTTTGAATAACTTTAAGTTGTTCTTTCCACAAACGAGTCCTCTGGCCATTCTGACGAATGCCATATATCGTGTGGTGGCAGGACTACTTTCTGTAATGCTTAATGAGTTCTTTGTGTACTTGCAGTTCTTTTACACCCTGCCAAATCGGGGCTGGCAGATTGAGAAGTCATTGGAGAGGTCATAATAAATATGTTCGAATAGTAATTCTCATAGATGACGTCCTTATCTGAGTGAGGTCTGGTACAGTATTTCTCAGGTGCGCTGTTTTGGCGCCTGGCTCCAGGGGGAAGAAATGCGTCTTCTAATAAACCTGACATAAAGGTAGGAGGACACTTCTCTTGTGTTAGAGGAATTCTGGAGAGTGTACTGACAGGTAGCAGTTGATCCTCATTTGTTTTTTTCTTGGTTTTTCTTTCTGAAGTCCTAATAGTTTTCTCTTTTCTGCAGGTATGCACCCAGTGTCCAGGGAGTGTGCAAAATCTGTCAGAAGTGGCCCTTTATTGTAAGCGGACACCACAGCTAATGCTGCATGCCCGCTGCTGCCTGAATCAGAAGGGCATCATTTTGGGGTGAGGGAAGAGAAGACACCCTTGCATACTGGAAAAGAGCTCCCAAACCAGATTCTTCGATCCTTGCCTGACTGAGATAAATTTTGGTGCCTGTTTTGGAGGCATTTAAACCATGAGTCTCAGGCTTTACATCTGTTATAGCATTTTTAGCTAGTAAACAACCCTGTGATTCTTCCTGGTTGGAAATGCATAAAAGTCATAATTTTTGCCTATTTTTTTTTAAAGGCTTTTACGGTTTTGTTTTTGTTTTTTGTTTTCAAAGCTTGTTTCTTTTGTTTATTATCAACTCTTTGGATTATTTCCTGTGTGTCTCCATGAAATGACTCTTAGCTTCCAGGACACTATGTAATATGGTTTTCTTCCTTTTCTGATTAATTCATATTTGTCTTTGAGGCAATTCCCCTTCTTGTCCCCTTACGTAGGTTAGTCTCTGCTTTTTTTCCCCTTTATACTCTTGAGAAGCCACCTATTACTATGGCTTCAGCTGTAACCATTACAAAGGTGTCTCCTAAAACTAGATCTCTTTTAGTATCCTTTGACCTCTCTCCAAGCTCCAGGTACTTGTGGGTACCTCTTGATTCCTATTAGACATTTCCTCTTTCAGTGCGCCCTCACTTCAGACTCAAAATGTTGTATATCTTGCTTCCATTCTCCTCTTTTCTTAATCTACCTAAATACATCTTTATATTAAACTTTATGAAAACCAATTTTTTTTCCATTATTACTCTTTGGTTTTAAAGTTAGACTTACAACTGTCTGTTGCCTTAGGATAAAGTTCAAACCAGGAACTACCACAGACTGGCCCAAACCATCTTTCCAACATTACTTCAAAATATTTGTCCACCTCAATCCCTCAATGAGTGTCTGGCTTCAGCCAGACTCAACCTACTTCCAAAAGCATTCCACCTTTGTTTCTTAGGTTAGGCCTCTCACTACCTAAAATTGTCCTCCTCCACCAAGTTATGACATATCCATCCTTTAATCCCAACCTCTCCTGTGAATGCTCCCTAATACTAAATACCAAAAGAATATCTTTTTATTTTTTTACTTCCCTTAATCCTTAGTGTCTGTACCACTCAAATTTATTTATACACTGTCCTGTGATTTCTTTCATATTGTAATTTAATGTTTATATTATTTTTATTTTTGATGATGGTCTTGTTCCCCTACTACACCGTAAGCCACTTGAAAGCTAAGATACTGAATGTTATTTTTAATTCTCCCAATTTTTGCAGTTAGCAGGCACTAAGTATTTGTAGAATCAAGGAACAAATAGTATGGTCCTTAATATCCAGTAGTTTACATCCATCCAATCTGTGGTAGAAGATGCACTTGGGGAAAACTTTCATTTATGTGACTTGAATTTTCTTTCCATATGAAAGCATTTTGTGGATCTGAGAATCATATTACAATGTAAGATTTGCTAATTTGGACAAGAAACCAATTTCTTTCAAAAAATGCATAGGCATACGGGTAAGGACAGAACTGTCCAGTGGAACTTTCTGCCATGATGGAAATGTTCTGTATCTGTACTCTCCAGTTCAGTAGCCACTGGCCAATATTAGTGGTTACTGAACACTTGAAATGTGGCTAGTGAAAATGAGGGACTGAATTTATTTTCTAATTTAAATTAAATTAAATAGCCATGTAGCTAGTGGTGACTGAATTGGTCAATGCAGTATTAAAACATCTATCACAGTACCTAGTTTGTGGCCCTGACACAGTTGTGTTCAGTTGATATTAGCTGAAAAGGGAGTTACATTAACTTACTGTGGATGAAGGGGAGAGACATAGCTTAGTTTTGCTGATTACTTTATTTCCTCAGGCTGGATCTCCAGAACTGTTCTCTGAAGGACCCTGGTCCAAACTTTCCTCAGGCACATACTGCTGTCATCATGTAAGTCATTAGTTATTCTCCCTCTCAAAAGGTGACTATGTCAAAGAGTTGATGGGAAAGTCTTTGAGGACAGACTCCTAAAAAGATGTTTGAATATTGTCTACACTTGGATAGCTCAGAATGAGAACTGGATTACCAATCCAGAAAGATATATGAATGGAAGTAGGGTGTTTTTCTAGAGCATGGTGCTAACAGTGTGTGCTTTGCAGAGACCTGCAGGCAAACCCCCTCAAGGATGAGTTGGCCAATGCCTTCCATGGCTTTATTCAGCTCCAGACTCTGTGAGTGAGAGTATGGGGTGGGGAAGAGAATCAAAGAGGGGCAGTGCTGTGAGCTCAGCACCTTTAGGCTGCTTATTACATCTGTTTATGTTGTGTTCAGGATACTGCCACAAGATGTCAACTGTCCTGGAGGTATTAATGCCTGGAATAATGTCACTTTTTATATAAACAACCAAACCTGCCAAGGACAAAGGAACCTTTGCAACAGCACTGGGGACCCAGGTATGTTGTCTCACCTCCACTCTTCTGCAAACTGCCCTTCCTTCCTTGTATTTTGCACCTTACTTCAGAAAGACAGTAAAATTGCCTTTTGTTCAAGTTTCTGAAGCTTTAACCCCTTGGAAAGAAAGGTCTTAAAATATATTTTGTTATGATGATGATGTTCTGATTATTTGTAGTTTTTTTGTCTTTGACCTAGAAATAGTTGAGAGAATCAAAGTTGAAGTAGGTATTTGAGAAATATACCTAAATGAGATCCAGTGATGTTCTCTGTTTTTCTCTGGCTCCCAGAAATGTGTCCTGAGAATGGATCTTGTGCACCTGATGGTCCAGGTCTCATGCAATGTATTTGTGCTGATGGCTTCCATGGCTACAAGTGTATGCGCCAGGTGAGAAATGAGGCCTTCTATTTAGAGGTAAGAGGAATGCATAGAACAAGGACCTCTCTGAAAGAAGAGCCATAAGACCAGAAGCTGATGCAAATCACCTAGAGAAGGAAACTAGAATTGCCCTGGGTGTAGGGGTCAGGTATACTAGGAAAGAACTGCGTGGTAGGTTGTAAGCCCTTGGTGTGACCCTGTATGAATTTTTTTTGTATGTTATTCACAGGGCTCGTTCTCACTGCTTGTGTTCTTTGGTATTCTGGGATCCACCACATTATCCATCTCCATCCTGCTTTGGGGGACCCAACGACGAAAAGCCAAGGCTTCATGAACCACACAGGTCTTACTATTGACCTAAAGATCATCCCCATCTATCTTAGCCCAGACAGGGAGATTTGCTTTCTAGACATCGTTGGTCGGCGGGTCCTCACAAGGCAGAAGCCACCTTTGGAAGGAAGATGGAAACTCGCACAACTCGGGGGTGTTGTGGACACACCAGTCCTGGAGTGGACTAGTCACCAGGTCCCATTTGTGCTGTTGACCATAATAAACATTTTTTTTCTTCTTTTTTCTCCCCCAACACCTTTTTTCGGGAGGAAAGGCGCCCAGGCTTTGGCTTTGTGTGTTTCTTGGTTGGAGTGGGGAGAAGCTACCTTGGGACGGCCGGTTTTCTCAGGGTTCCCTTCGCTTTGCTCCGCGCAGAGGAGGTGACCCCACCCTGTGCTGCCCTGGCCCCGCCCCCTTACGTTCCCGGCCCCGCCCCTCACGCCGCCAGCTGCCCGCGCCGCCGCAGTCTGCCGCCGCCCAGAGCGCCTGGGCTACTGCGCCTTCCGCGCCGCCCTTGCTGCAGGCACCGGCGCGGTTAGCCACGTGGACCGACTCCGGGCGCGCTGTCCTCACGTGGTTCTAGCATCGGCTGGGGCTTACTGCGCTTCCCGCATCTCTGTACTCACCCCGCCTCTGAGCTCCGTTTCTATGGCGGCCCTGGTGTTGGAGGACGGGTCGGTCCTGCGGGGCCAGCCCTTTGGGGCCGCTGTGTCGACTGCCGGGGAAGTGGGTAAGCAAGTCCAGGCTAGCCGCCGATCTCATCCCACTCTCTCTTGCCTCTCTCTGCCCAATCTGTCCTGCCCAGACCCCGCCATTTTCCCGCCTGCACACCTTCTCCCTGGCCATTCCCCAGCCCAGACCCTTTTATCCGTCACAGTCAAGGCAGCCTCCACTGGGACGTTCTCATCGCGCGGGGCAGTGCTCCGAAGAGTGCCGTGCCTGAGCCCCAGCCCTGCCTCTTTCTTGCAGTGTTTCAAACCGGTATGGTCGGCTACCCCGAGGCTCTCACTGACCCTTCCTACAAAGCACAGATCTTAGTGCTGACATATCCTCTGATCGGTAACTACGGCATCCCCCCAGATGAAGTGGATGAGTTCGGGCTCAGCAAGGTAGCCACACCCAATGTTTTCTCTACATTCCTTTTCAAATCAGTAATTATTAACTGTTAGTGAGGTGAAGACACTGATATTGGCTAGGCATCCTGGAGAAAATAGGTAACACACTGAAATGATAGACCAGCACTATGCAGGGCTGTTAGGTACCTTGAGAAGCAGGGTGCTGGAGGCCAAGCCAAAGAGTCTGGGTTCTGGTAAGGAACCAGTGAAGATCTTTTAGCAACAGAGTAGTGTGGTAGGAGCAATGCTTTAAGAGTACATGAATTAATGGGAAAGAGACTGGAAATGAGGGTCACTCCATTCTCAGTGATGGCGGGTCACAATTCATCTACCAAACTGGTGAAGTTTATTGTCATCCTCTAAATTTGCTTTCCTTACCACGCCCCATTTTTTACTACTTTTCAGTAGAGTTCTTAACATCTAGGTAGGAAAACTTGGTTTTCTCCTCAGTGAGGTTTCTCCTATTCCTCCTCCTCTGGAATTTGGAAACTAAGTTGCCCTCTGAGAGTTCAAGTAATAAAAAAAGGGTCAGCACAAGTTAATTGTAGTCACCATAGCCTAGGTACAGTAGTCCTCAAAACTCATTTTATCCTGATTCTAGGCTTACTGAGCCTATAATTCTTAATATGCCTTCCCAGTCACCCTGACACTTGAGAGAGGAAGCTCTAGGAAAGTGACCTACCTGTAATTCCTGGAGGGACCATTCCTCATCACAAACCTGTAAATTCACTGCATTCTAGTTGATAATGCACTATCTTAGTTAGCTTAAGGCAGTCTTCAGCTTAGTCAGCTCTAGATACAATGTCAAAATTGAGTTTATACACTTGCAAAATTGAGGCCCTGACAGAACCAAGGTGATTAAGGCCTCCTAAGCCCACCAGGAATGCTTTTGTAGCACATGTGCTATAAATGCACTTGTCCATACGCAGACTAGTCCACCTGACCATAGAGGGTTCTGCCAAACTAGTCTTCAGATTTCCTAAAGAACAGTCTCAACATTCATCTTTCTTTAAACCTTCCAATGCTAAGCAGTTGTAATTTAAATATGCCACTTCCTCCCACATAAGCAACCTGCTCTCTGTTTAGTTTATTATATGCTTATCTATTGGGTAACAAATTTGTGTTACCTTTTCTTGTTTTTAACTTTTGGGGAGGGGTAGGTAATTAGGTTTGTTTGTTTATTTACTTTTTTAACAGAGGTACTGGGGATTGAACCTAGGACCTCCTGTATGCCAAGCACGCACTCCACCACCGAGCTACACCCTCCCCCAACCATCCTCCCCCAACCCCCGAATTACCTGTTTTTAATGATAATCCCCTATTGGGGGGGTATAATCACGCCTAGTATTATACCTTGAGCCTTTATTTAGTAAGGTATTGTGCCCCTACCTATTTTACACTCTGTTTTTATCACGCTGTCATTATAATCTTGTTTATCCACTTTACCTTGTTAATTTTCAGGTTCCCTAAGTAGCAAATTAACATCATGAAGATAGGGACTTTTGTCTTTTTTTCCTGCTCAAACTCCTCCGCCAGCATCTGTTATAATGCCTGGCACCAAGTGGACACTCAGTAAATGTTAACTGCAGTCATGTGTGAGGCAGCTTGCTCTTGAGTTCACAGTTCTCTGATGAAGACATATGGACACATTTATAATACAATGTAAATAGCAAAAGAAGTGAAAATAAAGTGAGCTTAGGTATAAATGCACTCTAAAGAGGAAGCACAAGCTGCAGTGGGTGAGAATGGGGGTGACTTCACGGAAAAGGGAATAAAAGGAAAGGAACATATCATTTCAGTTATTAATCAGGCACCCCAGGCCCATGTGTTCAGGGTTTCACATAGGGGACAGCATCGCTGGTAAAAGGCAGAAGCATGAGGTGCTTGGTGACAGGAATGACAGGTCATTCAGTGTGCCTGAAGTACAGGGTCCATGGCCTTAGAGTGGGAAAAGATGACACCAGGAGGTATGTGGCCCTGAGCTCCTTACAGTCTCCTCCTTCCATCGACAGTGGTTTGAATCCTCGGGGATCCATGTGGCAGGACTGGTGGTGGGAGAGTGCTGCCCTACACCCAGCCACTGGAGTACCACCTGTACCCTGCACGAGTGGCTGCAACAGCATGGCATACCTGGCCTGCAAGGTATGGTGCAAGCACAGGTGTGTCTGGGTAAAGCACAGAAGCCCAGATGGAAAGAATCAAGAGGTCTTTGTTGACTATTGGGAGTCGAGTCAAAGATTGTGATAGAAAGTACCTGATTTGAAAGGTTTAGCCTGGGGTCTGGGCTCTCACTCAGATGGAAAATTTCCAACGTACAAAAGAAGAGAATAGGAAAATGAATCCCCAGGTTCTGTAATCATCAGCTCAGCTAAGCTTGTCTCATCACCACTGCTACAACCCCCAGATCATTTTGAAGCAAATCTCAGATGTAATGTCATTTCATCCACAAATGGTTAAATATATTTGAAAAAGGAATCCTTTTTAAAACATGATCATGATTACATTACCATACATTTTAAAAAATAACAATAATTCCTGAATATCAAATATCTAGGCAATGTTTAAAATGTGCTAAATTTCAATTTTTCTAATTTTTTAAAAACTTTATTTGAATCTGGGTCTACACAAGGTCTGTACATTGCATTTGGTTGATATGTCTCTTTAATCTGTGGGCCTTGTAACCTATTGGACACAGTTTTCCTTTAGAGTATCCCACAATTTGCATTTTATTGATTATATTCCTGTATTGTCATTTAGGGTGTTCTTTTGTCCCTTAGTATTATTTTCTGTAAACAAATAGGTCTAGAGTCATGGTTCAATTCAGTTGGGATATTTTGGGGCAGGAATACTTCTTGGTAGTATACTTCCAGCAGGACAGCCTGGGATTTTGATGCCCGGAGAACACCTATGTGACTGGAGGCTCGAATAGAAGTGCTCCTGGAAGCCTAACCTCATACATGACTGCTTTGAGGGGGTGATCTCTCAGAGTGTGCTGTTTTGACAGGAGTGGACACTCGGGAGCTGACTAAGAAGTTGCGAGAGCAAGGGTCTCTGCTGGGAAAGCTTGTCCAGGATGGGACAGAGCCTTCAACCCTGCCATTCTTGGACCCCAATGCCCGTCCCCTGGTGCCAGAGGTCTCCATTAAGGTACAGAGGTAGAATGGGAAGAGTATTGCAGGCTATAGCACAGTAGTTATATTCTGTCCTTACCAGGGATGAACACCTGAGGGAGGATCAGAAGAGGCCTTGAAGGTAGGGGTTGGTATGTGTATATTATACCTACTAATCACAGCTGTCAATCATTGCCCTTTATTCCTCTATTTCTCAGGTTCCGCGGGTATTCAATGCAGGGGGTACCCCTCGGATACTTGCTTTGGACTGTGGCCTCAAGTATAATCAGATCCGATGCTTGTGCCAGCGTGGGGCAGAGGTCACTGTGGTACCCTGGGACCATGCATTAGATAGCCAGGGTGAGTAGCTGGGGTCTAAACAGGACCACGGACAAGCAGCATGGGTGGGAGGTCTGTCCCTTGGTCCAGTTACTAAGAGTCAGTGTGAGTTGCAGGGAGGAAGGTGGAGATGAGGGCTTTTGCTCCAATGGTGTGTCTCTCTAGCCGAACTGCTGCTTTTGACGTTATCTTTTCTGCCCACTCCAGAGTATGAGGGTCTCTTCCTGAGTAATGGCCCTGGTGACCCCACCTCCTATCCCAATGTGGTATCCACACTGAGCCGTGTCTTAGCTGAACCTAACCCCCGACCTGTCTTCGGGATCTGTCTGGGACACCAGCTGTTGGCCTTAGCCATTGGGGCCAAGACTTACAAAATGAGGTGGGATTTGTGGGGAGAGGAAGGGCCTGTACCTCTGATGTGAGGGACAGGAAATCTTGGGAATGGGAATAGAGTTGGTGTTTATTAGTGTTGAAACAGGAGTGGGGGCTGCTGAGAATCACAAGAGCAGCAGGAGCTGGGTTTGGTACAGTGGTGAAGGGAGGGTGAAAGGGGCATATGATTCAGTGTGTTTCCATCTCCAGATACGGGAACCGAGGCCATAACCAGCCCTGCTTGCTGGTGGGCTCTGGGCGATGCTTTCTAACATCCCAGAACCATGGATTTGCTGTGGAAA